CCTCCACCACCATGTGCTGCTCCCCTTGTTGCCAGCCCACCTGCTGTGGGTCCAGCTGCTGCCAGCCTTGCTGCTGTCGCCCTGTCACCTGCTGCACCACCACCTGCTGCAAGCCTTGCTGCTCCCCTTGCTGCTGCAAGCCCTGCTGCCCCCCACCTTGCTGCTGCAAGCCCTGCTGCTCCCCCTGCTGCTCCCAACCCTGCTGTGGCACCCCCTGCTGCCAGCCAGCCTGTTGCACGCCCGTGTATGTCCACAGAATCTGCTACCACCCCAACTGCTGCGCCCTACTCGGGTGCCTCCCTGAGAGCTTCGGCTGCACGTCCTCGGGCCAGTCCTGCGGCTGCTGCTGAGGGACTCGCCAAGACCCTCCCTCTGCCCGCACATGTGCCCTCAGTTCCCCCACCCGCCTCTCTGGGGACCGTCCCTTCCCACAGGGGGCTGCTGCCAGCGCGTGCCCCACCCTCCACCCCGGACTTCTGAGCCTCCCCTGCTGCTCTGAGCCTGTGAATCAGCTGGCTGGAGTGCGGAGTTCCTTCTCAATGCTCTCCTGCCCTTTGTCTCTCCCTCATGTGCTACCTTCCTGCAGCCTTGAGAAGGAATGCTGGTCATGGCTTTCACTCTGAGGCCAGGTCACCTTTTTGTCTAAGAAAATTAGTAAATTAAACCCTTATAAATTTTTCTTAATTCTCTGTAACTGACCCATAATCTTCATACTTCTGTGCTCTATGTGAAAGTAGTTGTAGCTTTATTGCTTCTTCTTCCACAATCATTTGAGTTGTCTCCCTGGATGCTCATATATGCTCTTCACCTGTGGCTCAATAAATTCAAATTCAACAATTTAATATTGTCTTTTTTTTATTATACATACCTCTTGATATAGAAACTCAACTTTGCATTGTATACCATATGCAATATCATATTTGAGCTGACTAGCATGGTTTTCCATACATTTTGAGGTGGGGAATTTCTTTGTGTATGTCATGGAATAAGAGGCATAGCTAACTCTATGGCTGGACCTTTATTCCTGTTGAAGGAAACTGCAGTCCTTATGGTGCTGGTAAAAATGAGACGGGGGACTGAGGACTAGTAGAATTATAGTAGTATTAGTAGGAGTAAGCCCTGAGCAGCATCAGGGGTGACAAAAACAATTAATATATACAGAGAATGTCTGTTCAGGTAAAGGTAAAGGTAAAGGCCCTCCCGTTGATCGTCGATTTGCTCGAGTGGGCCCAGTAACGTCTCCATTGGAGACTTTGTTGTTACTGTGTTTGGCATATCGAATACTCTCGGTAGCTTGCCAGACTCTCCGAGAGGGGCGGAGGAATCGAACTCGGGTCGGCCCTGTTGGCCGCTTGTAAGGCGAACGCTCTACCCGCTGTGCTATCGCTGGAGCATACGTCTGTTCACAAGTTCTCTAAATATTTTCCCACATGTCACAGAATATTCCTATATCAGGTTTGGGAAGAAAGTCTGCATTGCAATGCTCTCAGGAATATGCTAGTTTGCAGAGGTCTGCTTTATTGCTGTCTCCTTAAAAGGCAAAGAGAGAAAGGAAGAAGCGGAGAGAGAATGTGCTCTGCTCTTCTTCCTATTCTAAATGCCCTAATTCATCTTGGGCCCTCATCCTCATCATAGAAACTATAACAATCAAACATAGAGTCCAACTGGGGATGAGGAAAGTATATTGAGAATAGTATCTACAATCTAGTCTCTGTCCCTCTCACATACAATCTCTATTTCTTCAAGGTGGTTGCAAACCATAGTTTCCAGAACAGAAGCAGGCAGGGGAAGTGAAAGAGAAAGAGGGAAAGAAAAAGAGAAAGAGAACTATATGTTCAAAAAAGAGAGGGAAGGAAGGAAGGAAGGAAGGAAGGAAGGAAGGAAGGAAGGAAGGAAGGAAGGGAGGGAGGGAGGGAGGGAGGAAGGAAGGAAGGAAGGAAGGATTAATGAGTAAGGAAAGCTACCAACTTAGTCAGGAGTTGAAATCATTTATGCTGATTTATCAGGCTGTTCCCCTGGAAACTATTTACAACAACTGAGGGCTTGCATATTGGCAAAAGAACTCTACTTCAAAGATAGAGGTTTGACTACCAGCTGCACACTGTGGCCGCAGTAACTTTAGCTCATTCAAACCTCTGTCCTTGAACTAGAGTTCCCTTGCCATTATCCAAGCCTCAGTCCTGACTCACTCAGTAACTATCCTTACTCATGTATTGTTTTCATGGGCATGGACACATCATGGGATATTACACAAGTAAATCCCCTAAGTCCCAGGTGTATTTCTTGTCAAGATAATCTTCCTTTACCAAATGATTATGCTTTCTCTGCATCTTGATCTGAAATGAGCAGCAGACAGTTGTAAGATTGTTTCTTGCCTGTCATTTCCTTCATGGAAGCAAAATTTTAATCCCAATAAAACCTAAAGACTTGGTTTTGATGGGCACCAATTGTCCTGTAGTTGGGAGTTAAGATGAGAAGCACTGCTTTCTGAGCTCTTCTGTGTTAACTTGTAGCTACATAGGGTATCATCCCTAAGTAAACCATAACATCCATTATGTCAAGGGGAATACCCTATCCAGAAGACAATACACCAACCTAATAGGATGCTATCAAGCCAGTAATTTCTTAACCATCTAACAAATGAACATACTGTATAATGACAGGTGACTCACAGGGTAATTTGCCTTGATTTTCATAAAGCGACTTCCTTGACCTGAAGTAATGCAATGCAGCATCCTAGTACAAAATGTCAGTGAGGGAATATATTTCTCAGGCATGCTGTTTTTGTTGGTCACAAGTGATGCAAATGAAAAGAAATGCTGGTGTGGGGTGGGGAGGCCAGAGCAATAGTACAGTGGGTAGGACTTGCATGCTGGCCGACCTGGGTTTGATCCCCAGCCTCCCATATGGTCGCTTGAGCACTGCCAGGTGTAATTTGTGTATGTAGAGCCAAGAGTAGCCCCTGAACACTGCTGGTGTGATGCAAAAAAGCCAAAAAGCAAAGAGGAAAAGAAATTGTGGTGGTGGGGTGGGGGAGAATAAGGAGAGATGTCTCCCTGTACTTAGTCAAGAGAAGCTCCACTCACAAGAGATACAAAAAAATAACAGAACAGGCTGGGTTTATGAACTCACATCATTTCAGGCATCTCTCATGTCCACTAAGCATTCAGCTGTCAGTTTTTGTATTTGTCACAGGGTTTTCTGCTTTGGCGGGTGGATAGCACTGTGGCACTGTCCTCCCGTTGTTCATCGATTTGCTGGAGTGGGCCCAGTAATGTCTCCATCGTGAGACTTGTTGTTACTGTGTTTGGCATATTGAATACGTCACGGATAGCTTGCCAGGCTTTGCTGTATGAGTGAGTTACTCTCGGTAGCTTGCCAGGCTCTCCAAGAGGGGCAGAGGAATTGAACCCGGCTCGTCCAGGCCGGCTGCGCACAAGGGAAATGGCGGGTGGATATTATCAGAGAATTCTTAGAATATCTTCTATGTTTGAGTCTCACATTTTCATCCTGTTCAATCAGTACAACTGATGATATTCTGTTATCTGAAATCCATAGATATTCAAAAAAACATCTTTTTTTAAAAAAAAGAAAGAAAACACAAGGTGATTGTCATTTATTCAAAATAAAATCATTTCCCATTACCTTAACAAATCAGGGTGGGGTAAGAGATAGTTCCATGGGTAGGACACTTGCCTTCCACAAAGCTGACATAGGTTCAATTTCTGACACCCCATATAGTCTCCTGAGTCCCATTAAGAGTGAATCCTGGGCTGGAGCAATAGCACAGCGGGTAGGGCATTTGCCTTGCATACTGCCAACCTGGGTTTGATTCCCAGCATCCCATATGGTCCCCTGAGCACCACCAGGAGCAATTCCTAAGTGCATGAGCCAGGAGTAACGACCTCTGTGCAACGCTGGGTATTACCCAAAAAGAAAAAAAAAGGAGTGAACTCTGAATGCAAAACCAGGAGTAAGCCCTGAGAACAGAAGGGTATGGCCCAACCAACCCCTCTCCCCCCGCCCCCACCTCCCCCCGTCACCACCACCAAAATCTCAGAATTTTGATTTTGGAAATTTGAAATACCTTATTTACACAGAAAGCGTGAGTTCACACTTTGGAAAATAACTACCTTATCCAAAGGTATAAAATTATATGGCAGTTCATTTATTAAAATGATAAGTAATTTAAGTGAGTTTTCCATAAGTCTTTGTGGTCTATTGTCTCTCTATGCTTGATTCCAGAAGAGGACTCAAATAGAATGTTGTTTTCTGAACAAAGGATCAGAAGAATGTGCTGTATTGATTCTTACCTGTCAAACAGTTATTTCATCTTCGTATAAATCAAGAGATTTTTTTTAATTTCTCACAACTTTGCCTCCAGAATAATGCAATCTTACTGAAGAAATCGCTAAATATTAAGTTCAGAAAGTTTTCTGAACTCTGTTGTCTCTGTTCAAGGTATTAGAAGCTGGGTTAGAAATTCTAGATTCTCCTTAGATTTTTTTCAATGACAAGTGTGTTACAAAGTAACCAGTAGGTTATTGTCTTCCATTCTTTCTTCTTTTCTTCTTTCCTTCCTTCCTTCCTTTCTCTTTTTCTTTCTTGTTTATTTTAAAATATTATTAAAGTAATTTTTAGTTACCTGGACTATATACATTTTAGGGTTACACTTTTAAACTGCTTCAAAATATATGTTCCCATACTACACTCACCACCAAAGTACCAGAATCCTTCACAGTCTGGATGTTAATCCCCTTTAATCCTTTTCTCCAGCCCTCCTCTGATGGCTTCAGTTTTGTAGTCTGAGTTCAAGCATCTATCTCTGTTGGCTTTGTCTATTCTCTTGTGCCGCTTTTATTTACCCTATATATAAGTATTAGCATCTCATGTTCTTTCTTCTCCCTCTGACTTATTTCTCTTCACATAATCTCATCCACTTTAATCCATGTTTTTGCAAGAAGTCCCATATCCTCTTTTTCTTATAGCTGTGTCTTTCACTAAGGCATGAACTGTTCCATTGAAGACTTCCACTGAAATGTGAGTATATAAACTACATTTTGATGGGCATCTGCTGTGAGCCGGAAGTAACCATCCACCAGGGACACGAAGGACAAGGCCTCCTCGTGGGAAGAGAGCTTCAGCTTCATTTTTTTGTTGTCCTGCTTATTGATGCTGACCACGGACTCCTTGATGACAATGTGAGTGATTTCAGGGAAGTAACAGAAGTTGTTCCACTCTTCCCGGATCTTGCTTTTCTCCTCATTTTGTGTGATTGTGTGAAACTACATTTTAAAAAATATATAAAAAGTTTATTTTAGTCACCATGATTTATAATTCTGTCAATGATAGAGTTCCATGCATGCAACAACCAAACCCTCTCCCCTCCACCAGAGTGACCACTTCCCTCCATCATTATCTCAGGATCACCCCTAAAATACCAATCCTAAAATCCTTGTCCTCCCTGCAAGCTCTCTGCCATTAGTATAGTCAGGTCTGCAGACCAGTTCTCAGCCACATTTTCTTTCTTTATTATCTGTTCATCTGCACTTGGGTGGTTCCCATGACTAGACTCTTGTAAATAGCACTGTAATGGACATGCGTATGTGTATATCTCTTCAAATTAGTATTTGTATGTTCTTTCAGCAGATACCAGGAGTAGAATTACTGAATCATATGCTAGAGGCATTTTTAGTTTCTTAAATGTTCGTACTGTTTTCCTTTGAGGCTAAACCCCACCAACAGTCAATGAACTCTTCTTTTCCTCCTTATCCTGACCAGCACTGGTTATTTTTGGTTTTTTGGATGTGGACCGTTCTAACAGGTAGAAGATGATAGCTTATGGTTGTTTTGGTTAACAGCTCCCTGATAATATGTGATAATGAACATTTATTTATGTGGCCTTTGGTCATCTCTTTTTTAAATAGAATTGTTGTTTTCCAAGCACTACTCAGCAAAGATAACTCTGTTCCTTAATATTATGGAAATGTACATGCCACCACAGATTCCAACAGAGGGAGTCATCAAGGTCATGAAGGGTCATAGGAGTGTGAGGAACATGGTATATTCAGAACTTAGCTGACTCTTTTAGGGAAGGTAGAAGAAAGAGAGTAGAAAAGGTGAATTTGTGGAAGATGTTCAGAGCATATATCCCCAAAACAATGCAAGCAAATAAAATCCAGTGCCATGTACAGATGAATATATTTGCATTGAATTATACTTATAGTACATGGTTAGTTGAACATTTTAACATGAATCAAGGCTTTATAATTATATCTATTGAAAAGCATGAGAATAACCATAGAATTACCTCAATAGATAAGGAAAAAGCATCTCAGGAATTCCAGTCCCTTGCCAATATAGAATACCTGAGAAAAAGGAATAGACAAAACTTCATTATACTGATGAAAATAATCTACTGGAAATACAACTTCTTGTTTACAAAATACTGAGAACTCTCCTTCCCCTAGAGAGAATATTCAGGACCAGCTGCACCCTTCTTTACAAACATGCATGCCAGTCCATGCTTACTCCTGAATCTGTGCTTAGGATTCACTCCTGGAAGGGTTCAGGGGACCATATGCGGGGTTGGGGCTTGAACAAGGATTATCAGTGTGCAAAATAAGCACCGTACTGGCTGTACTATCTCTCTGGTCCAAAAATATTTTTATGTATATTATCAAGCACCATATACAAAAATGCTCATGGCAGCATAATTTTTACTGGTCTGAAACTGAACAAAACTTTAGTGATAATCAAAAGAACAACCAACAAATAAAGTGTGTAATATTCATTCAGTGACTGATTACACAATGATGACAATGAATTAATGACATAATTATATTATTGACTCTCACAATCACAATAAACAGCATCTATTACATATTTTGAAAAAATGTAAAGTTCATAAATAATGCCAAAACTGTATTCAGAGAGATAGCACAACAACTGATTTTTTTCCTTGCATGTGCAGCTGACCCAGGTTTAATCCCCAGCACTGCATATGGTCCCCTGAGTCTCACCAGGAATGATCCCTTGGCACAGAGCCAGGAGAAAGCCCTGAGCACCATCAGGTATGGCCCAAAATATTTTTTTAAAGTTAAAAAATAAAGAATACCAAAACTGAAGTGCAAAGTTAAAAGTCAATGGAGTGATAAGCTGTCTTTGAGGGGCATACATTGGAGGGGGCATACTTTGAAGGTACTGGGGTTAATTTCTATTTCATAAGCTAGAAATAGTGACTTGAGACTATACACTTTGTTCTAATCTATAACATTAGAAATAATATCTTAGACCCCAAAGGTAAGATACAATAGCTAGCAAAACAATACAATTCAAAACGATTCTTTTAAGAGTAAGACAAATAGGCATAAAAACATGTAGGTCTATGGCATGAAGCTCCCAACACTTGGTAAGGAAGAGTAACATCTGCTCTACCTGGTGTTGCTGAAATTGCACTAATATAACACTAAGTGCCCCACATCTAGGAAAACTTTGCTGGACTGGAAATCCCAGAACAATAGTCACCCAGAATGAACTGATTTTTTTTCTGAATCTCAAAGTAGTCCTTGTAGGTTATCATCCACATCCGTTCTGTTTGTCTGACGAGGAAGAGAAAAGGTGAAACATCCTCTCACAGGTGATTCATAAGACTGGGCTACACAGGGATACGGGCACCTCCAGAGAGAGTGGAGCTGTGACAGAACTGATTCCAGTGTCAGAGGAAACACCTAGACTCTGGATTCGCTCCTCCTTTGTGTGGAGCATCAGGGCCCACCCGATCACACCTCCCTATTTGCATGCAAACCACAAAGCTGGTGAGAAACACGCTCTGACCACATGAGGGTTCAGGAACTGGTCACATGACCAGACTATGATTAAAGCAGGGGCCCTGATGAGGTGCCTGCCTTCCTTTTATCTGAGACAAGTATCTAAGAATTAATCTCAATTAAGAAACACATTAAACATTAATTTGCCTAAAGATTAATGACATTTAGGGGAGAAAAAAGCTTCCTCTCACAACTACCTAGAGGCGATATTGTTTATAAACAAGAAAAGTGCTGCTTATTGGTGGAAACTCTGGAGGTCTGGGGTATAAAAGCTCAGAGCACAAGGAATTAGCATCTTCTGGGAAACCCTCTCTGAACACAGACCCACCACCATCCTCACCACCATGTGCTGCTCCCCTTGCTGCCAGCCTACCTGCTGTGGGTCCAGCTGCTGCTCCCCTTGCTGCTGCAAGCCCTGTTGCCCCCCACCTTGCTGCTGCAAGCCCTGCTGCCCCCCACCTTGCTGCTGCAAGCCCTGCTGCCCCCCACCTTGCTGCTGCAAGCCCTGCTGCCCCCCACCTTGCTGCTGTAAACCCTGCTGCCCCCCACCTTGCTGCTGCAAGCCTTGCTGCCCCCCACCTTGCTGCTGCAAGCCCTGCTGCCCCCCACCTTGCTGCTGCAACCCCTGCTGCCCCCCACCTTGCTGCTGTAAGCCCTGCTGCCCCCCACCTTGCTGCTGTAAACCCTGCTGCCCCCCGTCTTGCTGCTGCAAACCCTGCTGCCCCCCACCTTGCTGCTGCAAGCCCTGCTGCCCCCCACCTTGCTGCTGCAAGCCCTGCTGCCCCCCACCTTGCTGCTGCAAGCCCTGCTGCCCCCCATCTTGCTGCTGTAAACCCTGCTGCCCCCCGTCTTGCTGCTGCAAACCCTGCTGCCCCCCACCTTGCTGCTGCAAGCCCTGCTGTCAGCCTTGCTGTCCCCCATCTTGCTCCTGTTGAGCCTGCTGTCAGGCCACTGCTGCCGCCCTGGCATTGGGACCCACTGATGCCAGTCTTGCTGCCGCTGGAACCATGTGCCACAGAACAGCCTTCTGACAATAAACCTGGGCGACGCTGCTGCCTCCACACCCAGCAGCAGTGACATCCACAGGCTCCGGCCATCTTCCTCCTGGTCAGTTTCGGACTAGATGCAACCGACTCTGTGTCCAGGCATGGGTGGGTGCAGGGGGCTTCGGGCTTAAGCTCAGCTCCAGCTCCTTGACAGCTGTGGTTTTCTTAGGGTTCCTTCATCATCAGGCATCTTAAGAGATTTTTACGGATGACAAGCTTTTCTTTGAGTAATCTAGAGCACACATTTTTGTTATAGATTTCTATGCTTCTTCCACATTCTCTTTTTCTCTTATACATTATAAAATAATTTATAATTAGTTTTTTCTAAGTACTCATTAGTCATCTGTTTCACTTCCTCCTTTTTATGATCTTTGCATTGTCTTCCTAAGTATAAATTAGCTTACCTAATTCCTTCCCAATAAAAGTTTTGCTAACTTGCAGTCTACATCATGTTTGTAATTTTTATACGACATTTTCTCTTAAGGCCTTATGTTCATATTCTATTTCCTGTCAGTTATTTGTTAAAAGTCTGAGAATAACTCCTACACAGCAGAACCAAGAGGTTCATTTGCCACATACTTGAAGAGTAAAATTTATTTGACTGGTTCTGTGTAGAATTTGGCCAGGGACGGAGGGTCTCTGACCATCTCTAAGTTTCTTACTGTGAGTTGTAGGGGTTAAACTGCAGTCATTGCTCTGCTTTCCCTGTACCCTTTGGATTAAGCAATGCCCTATCTTGATGTACTGTTTTAGTAGTGGGAAAGTGAGAAACAGGTAGCTAAGCACAGGGAACCAGGGAGGCAGTCACAGGCAGAAGCCTTGAGCAGCCCATTCTGGGAATCAGCAGAGATGAGTAGTTCAAGTTATGATTCAGAGCAGAATAGCAGAACCCAAACCCACCTGTTACCTAGGGAATAAGGGGAATGGAGTGACTGAAACATCTAGTAAATTAATAAATGTTTCTACAAGACCTGAAACAGAATGGATCTACCACAAAGATTCCTAGCAATAAGCCTTCCTCCAAGTCCCTTGCTGTGTCCCTCATGCCTTAGTGTACCCCATTGTTTTGTGGTGAAGTAACCAATTGAAAAACTATTATTGTGCCTTTTTCTCTTTGTTTCACCATTGCTATGAATGCCAGAAAAACTCCTATAAAATATGCTCTGCACTCCTAGTCACAATTTCAGGTGACTGCCTAGTTGCAATCTGTCTTGATGTTAAATGATTAACTTTCCTTTTTTAATGTAGGAGTATTGCTATTTATTCAGTCATTGATTAGGCTGACTGAATTGGACATGAACTCCACCTTACTTCCCCCCCCCTTTTTTTAAATAATTTTATTTATTGAATCCCATGAAAGCAGTTACAAAACTTTTGGGTTTAAGTCTCGGTCATACAATGAAACAGCCATCCCTTCAAAATGGCCTTGCGATTTTGGAATTCATAAATTTTAACAATTAAATCTGGAGGGCTTTCTGCCAAAACCTGAAGGGTTCCGAGATTTGTTCCTGAGTCTCTTGGATCATGGCCATTAAGCAGCTTGATCAGGAGCCAGAGAGGCCGTTCATGGGCAGTGACTCCGGATCTCGTTGGGGCTGGAAGGAAAGGGCCACCGAGCTGCCAAAGGGGAGCAGGTGGAGGGACAGCACCCTTTCCCCCCTAAGGTGGCCCAGTGCTATTAACCTACTGCGGGGACTAGACGCAATTCTGCCAAAAGCTGCTGAGTTCCAAGATTTGTTTCTGAGTCTCTGGGATCATGGCCATTAAACAGCTTGATCAGGAGCCAGAGAGTCTCTTTGTGGGCAGCAATTCGGTATCTCCTTGGGGTGGGGAGGAAAGGGTCAGCTCCACCCCCATCCCATGAGGTCCTCCATGTCTTGTCACTGAGAGTCCAAACCTGACTGTCCAATGGCCTCTGCAGGATGATGGCCACCTAGCCACAAAGGGGAGTAGGCGGAGGGACAGCACCCTTTCCCCCCTGAGGTGGCCCAGCGACAGTAACTTACTGCGGGGTTCGGACGCATTTCTGCCAAAAGCTGCTGGTTTTTGAGATTTGTTTCTAAGTCTCTGGGATCATGGCTGTTAAGCAGTTCGATCAGGAACCAGAGAGGTTTTGCCTCCAATTATATAGCTGAGCCAGAGGTGGTTTGTGGGTGTGTCTCCCACATGCCTAACTTTTGGTTGTTTACTTTCTTGGTAAACTTGGCTCCAAGTTGTTGGGATCTGGCCATAGACACAGCAGCAATTATGGGGATTCTGGAAGTCTGAAGGTGCCATCAGGCTGCTGATGCAATCACCTCACAGGTACAGATTGACCTGCTGGCATCCCCATACCCCCAAATGATTAACTCTCCTTGCTTTCTCACCAAGCTGGAGCGATAACACAGCTTGCATATAGCCAACCCAGGTTCGATTCCTTCGTCCCTCTCAGAGAGCCTGGCAAGCTACCAAGAGTATC